ACTAAGCAGAATTATGTAAGAAATTTTCTCAAGTGATGCAGAGTCAATTTGAAATGAGTATGATGGGAGAACTGAGCTACTTCCTAGGACTACAAGTCAAACAAGTTCTAGAAGGAATCTTTATCAGTCAAGGGAAGTACACCAGAGACCTGATCAAGAAATTCGGAGTAGAAGGCAAATCCTCAGTGACGATTCCCATTAACACCTCTCAAGGAATTGGACCAGATGATGAAGGAAAAGATGTTGATGCAACAACACACATAGGAATCATTGGATCTCTTCTCTACCTAACTGCAAGCAGACCAGATATATCATTCTCTGTTGGAATCTGTTCCAGATACCAATCAAAGCCCAAGGAGAGCCATCTAAGTGCTGCAAAAAGAATCATCAGATACATCAAAGGAAATCCAAATGCAGGCCTATGGTATCCTAAGGGAGGTAACTTTGAACTAATTGGTTACTCTGACTCAGACTTTGCAGGTTGCAGGTTAGACATGAAGAGCACCTCTGGTCACTGCCAACTGCTAGGTGGGAGACTTGTCTCCTGGTTTAGCAAGAAGCAGAACTCTATCTCAACCAGTACAACAGAAGCTGAATACATTGCAGCTAGGAGTTGTTGTGCTCAGCTACTCTGGATGAATCAACATCTGAAGGATTATGGCATTCAAGAAAAGGAGATCAAACTGCTGTGTGACAACACCAGTGCCATTGCAATCACTCAGAATCCAGTTCTTCACTCCAGGACAAAGCATATTGAGATCAGACATCATTTCATTAGAGATCATGTTGAGAAGAAGCACATATGCATGGAGCATGTGTCAACAGAAGACCAACTTGCAGACATTCTGACCAAGCCTCTGCCTGAGGCTAGATTCAACAAGCTGAGAGAGGAATTGGGAATGATGGATGAAATTCCAAGAGAAGGTTGATTGGAAGATCTTCTGTTACAGATTCTCTGTTAACAGAACCTCTGTTGCAGAATCCCCTCTGTTCTCTGCCTTGAACAGAGAACCTCGAATCCTACCAGAACACCTCAGCAACAGAAACCCTCCTCTCACCATCAGAAACCCTACTCCTACCAACAGAAGGTTGTGGACTTAGAAATATTTTTAGAAAACCGGGTGACCCAGTAATTTGTTGAAGGCCTTTTACCCTTTTACCCTTAAACGGTATTATATCCGCAAAACAATTATTGCGCCCCTATTTTCATTCATTGGTATCTCGGAACCGCCAATAATCTCAAACGTCCACTAACTCGAACCCATATATTCCAATCCTTTCAACCTAAACCGCTACTGCTCACTTAACTCTCAAATCTTCGAACTTCCATATCTCTCAAGCTCTCAAACTCTTACAACTCTCTGTAATGGCTTTCTTGAACATCAACGACCTCACCAAAGAAGAAATCAATACCTTGGTCGCCAATATCTACACTGGGATGAACTGCGATCTTTCCGCACTCCCACAACTCGTAGCAAACCAAGAAACGATGATAAAGATCATCAAGGGTATGGAGGAGTCACAACTTAACAAGGTGGTAGGCTATCATTTCGATTCCTACAGCACAAAGGACGTGGCAGAGTTCTATCTCAATGCCACATTCGAGAGGGAAACCATAAGGTCCCATGTCCATGGTAATAACTTCGTCCTCACTCCTGAAACTGTTAATGCTCTATTTGGCGTAGTGGAGGACCCCCAAGAAGAAGACACTGAAGGGTTCATTACCCTAGACAGTGTCAGGGTTGCTGTTGAAGTTTTTGTTCAGCTCTATTGCAGACCGGAAGTGGAAAGTGTTCCAAAATTATACATGAAGAAGAATCTCCTTCAAAGTGATTATGAGAAGCTGGTCAACATCTTCCATAGGTGTGTCTGGAGCAAGAGCACCTCTACTGATGATATGACAGTTCTAAATGCAAAACCTGTTTTTGCAGTTCATCATGGGATGAACATCAACTGGGGACAGGTAATTATCAAATCCCTAGTTGACTTCATTAAAAAGAAAGATAAGGAATCTAGTCTCTTCAAAACCTCTATGGGTTATGGTCTACTTCTGTCTGAATTGCTGATAAAGGCCAGAATAGGGTTGAGAAACCCCATTGAGACTGACTACTCCAAATTACTCTTCCTCAACACCTCAAATGATAGGAGAGTAGCTATGAAGGCTGAACAGAAGAGGTTGAGGACTCTGGAGTTTAACCGGGAGAAACTCCACCTGAAGGCAGTTAAGCCTAAGAAGGTTGTTAAAAAGCAACAGAAAGCCCCCACTCCAACAGAATCTAAAGAAGAAGAACCTTTGATCAGAAAGGTGGTTAAAAAGGCCCCTACCAAGAAGGCTATTCCTGCAAAAGTCCACAAGTTGGTGGCAAAGAAGGTTGTCATCAAGAGGAAGCAGCCCTCCCCAACCCCTGCAGAATCTACCCCCTCTACTTGTCCAGTTGCCAAGAAGGCCAGAGTATTGACACCTGCAAGTCAGGGGGAACTTGAAGACTCTGTAACCTCTACACCAATCAACAGAAATGCCTGGCAAGGCAAGAGGATTGTTTTTGAGTCAAGTGACTCAGAGGAAGAAGTAGTAGTGCAGGATGCTACTACTCAGGGGGAATCACACAGCTCTCCCCCTATCTTCATTCCTGATCCACCCTTGGTGGTTCTCTCACCAGAGGATCAAGAAGCCATCCACAGAACCCCTGAGCCCTCACAACCTCAGGAGGATATCACATATGCCCTGGATAAGCAGTTTATCAAGGTTCTAGCATGGAGGAAGTGGAGAGTGGGACCTCTCTCTGAACTGATCAGAATGCTACCCCATTTCATCATTGAGGAAGTAGAAGTCCTCAAGTGGGCTGGAACAGAAGACGTTGAGAAGTGCCTCAACAAAGATTTCCTTCTGTCTGTCTTAGAAGAAAAGAAGAAGGAGAAATGCAAAGGAAAGGCCAAACTGATTCATATTGATGAGGAGGAACCGGTCAGAGCCTTAGCAGAACATGAAATGGCTGCTTTTGATGAGTGGCTTATTGAGAAGAAACGCAAAGAATCCTTGATTCGGTTTTGTCATAGTTGTCAAGGAGAAGGAGAACCATCCTCTGCGAATGATCTACCACTGGCTATGCAGAAGCTGATAAAAGAATGGAGAGATGCACAGTTCGAGGAAACTGTAATTGAGGTAATCTCTAAATCTCCCTCTGTTCATACAGAACCTCATATTCCCTCCCCTCCTATATCACCTCCTCAATCACAACCCTCACCCAAAATCCCAACTCCCTTTACTACTCCACCTCAATCTCGTCACCAGAAATCCCCATCCCCACAGAAATCCTCACCCCAACAGAGAACCATTCCACGACAGAATATCCCTCCACCCTCACCTCAGAAACCCCCCTCCAAGGAGAAAACCGCCTCTGAAAAATCCAAACATTCCACACCTTGTAAACCCATCAAATCCAACAGAAACCGCTCCCCTTTCCCACCGCCATCACCCCATCACCAGAAAACCCGGTCTCTTCAGAAAACCTCTTCACAACAAAGAATCCCCTCTCAACAGAAATCCAAATCCCCTACTCCACCTCATCAAAAGTCCCCCAACATTGCTGCAAACACTCCAATTTCCTCACATCACTCTGCAGCATCCACTCCCAAGAGGAAACCTCTGCACCGTGTCTTCTCATCTGATAGTGACAATGATGGATTCCTTCCATCTTCCCTCGCTGGAGATCTCACCTCAAAGAGAAGGAACACTCCCACCAGAGAGCCTTCTCCACATCATCCCTCTCTACAACAGCCCAGAAGGCCTCCTATGCCCAGGTCAAGAGGACTGGGATTGCCTGAGTTTTAAGAATCAGAACCCCAAATATCGTTTACTCAGTTTGTTGCAGCAGCTGAAGAATTTGGTGGTCATATGCTGGATGGGATGAACAAGATGATCCTAATCAATGATAAGCACTATGAACATCTCACATCTGTGAACAACAATCTTGAAGTTGGGTTACAACACCTCTCTGCAAAAGTTGAATCGCTAACCCAAGCCTTCACCTCTTTCATGGAATCTTCCACTGCAAAGGTAGATGCAGTCTCCAGGGAAGTGGATGGCATCAACTCTGTTCTTTACTTTCACTCTCAATCTCTCAACAAATAGCATGAGAAGATTAAAACCATCTCAGTGGACTAGTGAAAAGAATGGAGAACAACTGCTAGATATCGAAGAGCTCTGCAAATCTCACAAAGAGCAAGCCTCTACTCTTCTTAAGACTGACAAAGAAAGATACCAGAAGCTGGTTCTACTTGAGGCAAGCTCCAAGGATATCTACTCTGCTATTGAAAAGCAACAAAGTCTGACAGAAGGCCTCACTTCTGTCACACAGACTCTGCCAGAAACCCTTGAGCAGATTGCCACATCTCAGGATTCAGAGTTTCAAAAGATAGCAATAATGATCTCTGACCTGGTTGATGCCAAAAAGGGGGAAGAGGATCCCCAGCAGAAGAAGCAGAAACGACCTTCCAGAACCTCAGCTGGCCCTTCTACTGGTGTTGATCCAGCTCCTTATTTCCAGGCCTCCATACAAAAGAAGAAAGATGTTGGAATCTCTAGACCTCCCTCTCCTCACAAACAAACATCCACGAAGAAGAAATCTCTAAACTTCAGAGAATGGAGATTAGGTGGATCTCAGAGGATAGGTAGAGCCCAGTTTGAGGAAATACAACAGAAGATGACTCCTACTCAGCAGCAGAACCTCTACCTTGACAGAGAAGGTCGAATAAGAATTAGGCATGGCGGCTCACTGGAGGAAGTTGAATACTGGTATCATAAGAGAATCCTTCCAGGGAAGGACATCCATGAAGGTGTCCTCAACTATCTTGATTGCAAGTTATCACCCATTTGGGCATCCTATCAAAGACCTGGGAACCTCACAGAAATCAGAGAAGAAGTCAATGAAGAATTGAAACGGATGAAAGAATTGGATGATCAAGCAATAGCTCATGCTGCAAGGGAAAATCTGTAAAGGACCACCCCTGTAATCTTTCAATAAAAGAACATCTCTGCCTTTCACTTTGTAAGGCAATTATCTCTTATCTGTTCTTATTATCTGCTATGGTTGTGTGTTCCTTAATCTGTTTATTATCTGCTATCTTGATTGTATCGTACTCTTACTACTTTCCTATGCCAAGTTGCCCACCAAGATTTTAATGAAAATTTTAAACTTTAGCTTTAATGGTGAAGGCACTTCTCTGGAAATAGTTAAAGGGTTTTGGCATCATCAAAAAGGGGGAAATTGTAAGGAATAATTGTAATTAGATTTTGATGATGCTATTAGGACTTTAGAATACCCCCTCTTTAGATTTATTGTATTAGATATTTTCCTAGTAAAGTTTCTTAGAATAGTCGACTGACAGAAGACCTCCTGACAGAAGACCTTCTGATAGGCTTAGTCCTGACAGAAGACCTTTGGCTCTCTGTTGGTTCTTACTGAGACAGAAACCCTTCTGGTTCTCTGTTGGACATCACTACAACAGAAACCTTCTAGACTCTCTGTTTGTACACATCTGACAGAAGACCTAAAGGACCCTCTGATAGCTTATTCCAACAGAAGTGCTCAAGACCCTCTCTGGGAGACTTTCTGCTAAAGACACCAGAAGGATTGACACTTGGATAATTTTCTTGAAGCAACTTCAACCGGTGAAACCAACGGAATATTCCTTCAACGGCTAAAAGACTTCAACGGAAAAGCTACAGTACGCGCATTAAATACACATTCAATGCATCCCGTACCTTGTAGAGTAAATGCATATGATTGGCCGCAATGTCAAGATAACTTTATCCCAAAATAGTAACCCGCCAACTTTGCTGGGTCCTACTGGTCAAGTCAACTATTCGCGCATTTAATGCATTGTCCTCCTCTTCCAACGGGAAGACAACCTCAGTATAAAAGATACACTACGAAGAACAACCGGAGAACTTCGATATAACCTTGCAACATCCTTTGCTCAACGCTTGCTCTAACAGAACCTTCAAGGATTCAAAATCAAAAAGCCTTCTTGAGATTAAAACTGCTTCATGTTCTACAAGAGAAGGCAGACGTTTGAAAGATTCTTATTTCCAACTCAAGCAAAGTTGCATTTGTTCTTCAACACTTCAAGCTCCTCAACTACAAATCTTTTGTAATGAAGCTAGTTGGAAACCCCTGTTCTTACAAGAACTCTTCTCCAACGAGAAGGACGTCCAAGTAACTGGAGCAGTGAAGTGGTGATACTTCTGGGAAGCTCAGCGAAAGGACCAGTCTTAAAGGAAGCCAGAAAGTGCATCCCAGGAGACATCTAGACTTGAAGAAGACGTGGAGAGCTTAAGTGCTAGGACTAAGGCGTTGTAAACGGACGTTTTTACAAGCTTAGTGGAACAGTGGATTAGAGGACGAGTTGTTCCTTGAACCACTATAAAAATCCCTGCTGTCATTACTTACTGCATTTATTTAACGCACTTAGATAGAACCGATTAACTCCAAAGACTTGGTCTCTGTGTTCAGCAGAACATGTCTTGTGAGTTAACAGAAGGCCTACTGCCTTTGCTTCTCTGAGGCTAATATGACAGAACCCCTACCAGAACCCCATCCGCTGCCAGTCTGTTCTATCAACAGAACAAAAGAGGGACAACCGAGAACCGCGCACTCGCCAGCCTCGACGAAATCCCCACAAATAAAAGAGGGACAGCCGAGGACCGTGCACTCGCCGACCTCGAGCAAAATCCCCACAAATTAAAAGAGGGACAGCCGAGGACCGTGCACTCGCCGGCCTCGACAAAATCCCCACAAATAAAAGAGGGACAGCCGAGGACCGTGCACTCGCCGGCCTCGAGCGAAATCCTTACAAATCAAAAGAGGAAAGGCGAGGACCGCACACTTGCCGGCCTCGAGCGATAAAAAATAAAATCCACACAAATCAAGCCACATATTTGGCTAAGTACATATCAGGCAAATACTATGCATTATGGACGAAGCAAGACCATACATGCGGATCAGACGAGCGCCAGCGCCGTCCCTCATCTTCAGACAGACGCGACGCATTGTCCTTAAGAAAAGGACCGACTCCATCAGCGCCGACCCTTATCTTCATATGAGCGTCCAAACGCCATCCTTCATTTTCAAACAGGCTCATCGGCACCGTCATTCTCAGAGGACAGGCGCCCGACACCGCCCTTCATCTTCAGACGACTGGCTTCATCAGCGCCGTCGTCCTCAGATCACGGCAGACTCCTCGGTCTCAACGTGGTCCTTCATCTCAAGACCAGCCTCCTCAACGCCGAACGTCTTGAGCTAGCGAGCGTGCTCGCCATTCCCTTCTTGGATGGCGACCCTCGTCCTCAAAATGAACGGCCCCTCAGCCTCAACATGATCATCTATCTCAAAGACCGGCTTCCTCAACGCCGAGAGTCTTGAGCTTGTATGACGATCGACTTCATCATCGTCGTCGTCCTCAGATCATGAACGGCTCCTCACCCCTGGCTTGATTATTTATCTCAAGGCCGGACTCCTCAGCACCGAGAGCCTTGAGTTTACACGGCGAAGTGCTTCATCAACGCCTTTGTCATCAAGGGACGTGCGTCCAACGCCGCCCTTCATCTTCAAGCCAGGGTTAGAACCTGGTCCTTCATATGACGAACGGCTTCATCAACGCCATCGTCATCAAAGGACGTGCATCCAGTATCGTCTCTCATATGACGAACGACTTCACCAGCGCCGTTGTCATAAGGGGACGGGCGTTCATCATCCTCAAAAGGAACAGCCCCTCGGCCTCAGCATGATCATCTATCTCAAGACTGGCATCCTCAGCACCGAGAGCCTTGAGCTTACATGACGAATGGCTTCATCGATGCCTCATCATCATTTATTCAGACCAGTGTCATCATCGCCTTCATCCACAAACCACGCCCGGTCCCTCGGCCTCGGTGTGATTATTTATCTCAAGGCTGGCCTCCTCAGCGCCGAGAGCCTTGAGTTTACACGGCGAAGTGCTTCATCAACTCCTTCACCATCAAGGGACATGCGTCCAACGCCATCCTCATCCTCAGACCGGCGTCAAAGCCTGGTCCTTCATATGACGTACGACTTCATCAACGCCATCGTCATCAAAGGACGTGCGTCCAACATCGTCTTCCATGTGACGAACGGCTTCACCAGCGCCGTCGTCATAAGGGGACGGGCATCCAACGTCATCCTTCTTCTTCAGGCATCCAACGCCATCCTTCATCAAAGGACAGGCTTCATCAACGCCATCCTTCATCTTCGGACCGGCGTCAAAGCCTAGTCCTACATATGACGTACGACTTCATCGACGCCATCATCATCAAGGGACGTGCGTCCAGCACCACCCTTCATCTTCAAGCCAGGGTCAGAGCCTATTCCTTCATATGATGGGCGGCTTCATCAACACCGTCATCATCAAAGGACATGCGTCCAATGTCGTCTTTCATATGACGAACGGCTTCACCAGCATCATCATCATCAGGGGACGAGCGCCCAGCGCCGTCCCTCATCTTTAGGCGAGCACCCAGCGCCGTCCCTCATCTTGAGACGAGCGCCCAGCGCCGTCCCTCATCTTCAGGCGAGCGCCCAGCGCCATCCCTCGTCTTCAGACGAGCGCCCAGCGCCGTCCCTCATTTTCAGACGAGCGCCCAGCGCCGTCCCTCACATTCGGACGAGCGCCCAGCGCCGTCCCTCATCATCAGAACGGCTTCGCCAACGTCATGTTCAGTTTGGCGTCAACGCCTTGCCCTTCACCACATCACGACCGGACCCTCGGACAAGACGTGATTATCTATCTCAAGACCGGACTCCTCAGCGCCGAGGGTCTTGAGCTAGCAAGCGGGCTCGCCATTCCCTTCCTGGATGGCGACCCTCACCTTCATGCGATGAGCGGCTTCATCAGCAGCCTCATCTTTAGTTCACGGCAGACCCCTCGGTCTCAACGTGATCCTTCATCTCAAGGCCGGCCTCCTCAGCGCCGAGTGTCTTGAGCCAACGATCGGGCTCTCCATCCCTTCCAGGATGGGGACCGTCGTCTTTACCTGACGAACGGTTTGATCATCGCCTCATCCTCATATCACGAATGGCCTCCCAGCCTCTGCGTGATCTTACATCTCAAAGACCGGTCTTAGCCATTCCTTTACCGGATGGCGACCGTTGCATGGATTTCGGACCGGCCCCTCAGTACCGTCGTCCTCATATCTCGAGACTGGATCCCAACGCCGAGGTACTGTTATAGCGACCGGGCTCGCCATTCCCTTCCTGGATAGCGACCGTCGCCTTCATATGATGCATGGCTCATTACCACCGTCGTGCTCATATTCAGACAGGCGTCTATCGCCTCGTCCTCATATTCGGACCGGCTCATCAGTGTCGTCGTCCTCACCACTAGGCAGGCGTCCCCTCAGCAGAAGGACACCGCTGCAGCTCCACACCTAGGCTGAAGGGTTCACCCCTTGGAGTTCATTTTGGGGGATCCGGTGTGCTCTTTTTCCCTCATTAGGATTTTTTCCCACAGGGTTTTTCCTAATGAGGTTTTTAACGAGGCATCGCCCCATTGTGGATCAAAAGGTGTCAGCCCTCGGCCCCCTATTGAAGACGTGTATTGCTCTACTCCTATTCACCTCACTACATGAGCCTCGAGGAGTGGGGGACTGGGGGACTACATCGGCCTCCACATACATAAAAACATCCAGAAAGCAACAACAAGCAAATACTACCAAGTTGTACCTCCATCGGCCATGTCTCCATCGGCCAGAAGAAGGTCTGGGGACTACATCAGCCTCCAGCACAAAGATAAACAAGTTCAAAATCTAACGAACACAAGCCCATGACAATGGTACCTCAACGTCCAACAACCATGTGTTCACCCTTCGGCCATGCCGAAGCGCAAAGCAGGACGCACATCGTCCTCAATGTCAAGGACACACATCGTCCTAAAGATCAAGGGCACGTATCGTCCTCGAAGCCAAGGACACTCCTCGTCCTCAAGGCCAATGGCACACATCATCTCCGGGACTATGACATTCATCGTCCAT